TGGAGGCTTTCCGCCTGCTTGCCCAAAATCTCTCTCTCTGTCTCACCTGTTCTCCTTTCCAGGTTCTTCTTGCTTCCAAACCCCCTCCATCCTCACTGCCTCCACTACCCCCTCCGCACAGGTCTCCTTTTCCTGTAACTCCCTCTGCTTCCCAACCCCCTCAGTTAACTCCGCTCCATCCTCCTCCTGCGCCCGGCCGGCCGCCGGTAAACAGCCTTGGTCTCTGGGGCAACCGCCGTGGGGTGAAGGGCCCCCCTAGTCAGCCTTTTCTCCCTCCTGCCTCTTCCTCCCCTGTTTCTTCCAGCCCTGATTCGCCGCCATTTCCTGTCCCCCAACCCCCACACGATCCACATTGGGTTTACAACACGCCACAGGAAATTCAGGCCAGAGATCACTTTAGTTCCTGCCTCCTGGCTGGTCTCAAAAAGGGCTGCCCACAAAGTTGTTAATTTCCAAAGGGTCCAAAATGTTCTCAAAGAAAAAAAACTAGAACAAGGCCTAATACTCCCCAAACTAAAATCTCCCCAGACTGAAATTTTATCAGTGGCCTTCAAGGTCTTTCATAATAGGGAGGAGGAAAAATACTTGGCCAACCTCCAAATACTGGCCAAAGTAATTACTCAGCCTTCTAAGCGCCCTTCTGGGCCCTCCGCCTCCAAAACTCCCCTGATGCTTGCTTCAAGTGTGACAAAGAAGGTCATTGGTCAAAAAAACTGCCCATCACCCAAAAGCCCACCAAGCCATGTCCTAAGTGCCAAAAAATGGGGCATTGGGGCGCCAATTGTCCACTCATCCGAAGGGAGGATTGGCCTAGCAAGCCCCAGCCATCCCGGGTGCCTCAAGCACCTCTGGTGGGACTGGCTGAAGAAAAAAAAATTGACAGGGCCCTGGGTCCATCCCGACCATGACCATCACAAGAAGCGAGCCCAGGGTAACTCTTGTCATGGATGGCCAACCCGTCTCCTTCCTCCTGGACACAGGAGCCACTTTCTCGGTCTTAAAGGAGTTTCAGGGCCCAACCACACTTAACATTTCCCCTATAGTCGGAGTAGGAAAAAACATATATACCCCCACAGAACGCCTCCACTAACTTGCCATATTGAAAGCGTTCCTTCTCCTTTTTCCCACTCATTGCTGGTCATGCCTCAGTGTCCCGTCCCTCTATTAAAAGAGATATTCTCGCCCAGTTACATGTTTCCATCTCTGTATCCCCATCCTCCTCCTCCGTAGCCTCATTCCTTTTAGCCCTCATTTCCAGCCTAGCGAGATACTTTAGAGCACGGATCCCAAATTGCTTTTTATTGGCCCGCCCACTGTATGCCCTTACAAAAAGAGACCAAAATAAACCCCTATCATCTTCACCAGATAAGCCATTCCAAAAACTCCACCAGGTTCTGGTCATGGCCCCTGCTTTACACCTGCCTGACCTCACTAAACCCTTCTCCCTTTACGTACATGAAAGGGACGGACAAGCCTTGGGTGTGCTAGGACAAACATATGGCCCCTCCTTCGCCCCAGTAACATACTTGTCCAAACAACTAGATCCTACTGTCCGGGGCTGGGCTCCCTGCCTTCATGCAGAGTCTGGGGAGAGGGCACCGTGCCAGTGTCAGGGGCTGCAGCGGGCGGCCCAGGCGGGCCCCATGACTCTGGTCCTGAGCCCTTTACAGATGGAAAGACTGAAACAGGACAAAACAACCCAGGCGGCTCCTCCAGGCCTGGTGAGCCCCGACCTGCGCATGTGGATGACCCCTGGGCGGGGCGGGGCCAGGCCCCCAGCACGCGCGGCCTGCCGGGACCTGTATACTGGCACAAGGCCTCCCAAGTCATTTCCTGGTTAGCTTTATTAGTTTCCAGGCCCAGCTGCCAATTCAGTGAGATGGGGCTGGTGTGAGACTGGACAACAATAACTTGGTAAACATAACACACCTCAGGCAGGTATGACGGGACAGTGTGCTGGAAAAAGTGGGGGTGGGGTGGCCAACAACTCATTCACAAGCTAAGGTGTCCCAGGACCTTGGGATCCTTGCAGGTGCCTGCCATGGGACACGGCTGCCTCCAAATCCCATGAGATGTGGCAAGCCCAGGCCAGTGCTGGGGGAGGAGTCCAGTCTCCGTAGCCCCAGTATAG